GAAACTAACAAGGTCATAAATTCTGCCCAAATGAGAATTGCAGCAGAAAATGACGTGGTCTGTTACTAAAAACACTTGTGCACACATTCCATTGGTAAATGTTGGTGCTATATAATGACTAAATTTTACATATTTTAGTTATCCAAAGTGAGTTCTTGATGTGGTGTTGGATACCCCCAAAAGACCACTAATATTTTTCAAAAGCATATTTTTCTTTTCTAACCGACCTGTACAAAAATTTATATGCTTTGTCTTGCAATGGAATTTCAGCAAAAGGTTGTTATAGCATCTGAGATTTCTAATTGTGGGAGACAAGGAACATCGAAAAGGTAACAGTCCATGCACAGAAAGAAAAGAAGATAGTATATTAAGGTAAGAAGGACAGTAATAGAATCAAACTAATACTATACTAAACCATCTGAAATTCTTGATACAGAATAGGAATTGTTTAGCACTGGAAAGGGTCAATCCTTACTCAGTAGTTCTACAATTAGAAAACTCAGCTTGATTACCCTGTAATAATAATTCTATTAAACAATAAGCTTATGCCTGTGAACCTCATAAATTATTATTAAGCTCCTTTCCACAATCTTGATATGATATTTTCCTGTCTTTGTTACTTATAGTACGTTTACTGTGAGATGAACACCACAGCTATTAGCTGGCATACACAGAGCAGGTACCCACAAATGGAATAAAGGGCTAGAGCTATAACTATAAGCAACAGTATATGAATTCATATCTGTTTCTGTAGTGAAGAAAAATTATAAAAAAAGAAAGCACTAAAATACAATAATTGAAGTGTTGTTTTTACTATTTTTCAATTAAATCAAAGTTTTCACTTCGATCATCGTATACTCTTTTAATGTAAATTTTATCGAACTAAAACATCAGCTTTGATTGGAAATCAGTAAAAAACATAAAATGCTGCTTTGATTAGAACTTTAAGACATGTTTTAGTTACTAAAAAGAGATAGAAATTAGAAGACTACCTGAAGAAAAGGTGCTGCGAAGAGGATATGCAGAAGAAGTAATAGCAATGAAGCAGATGAAGATGAAAAGAGAAAATGCTAAGACTTTGAAACCCATTTGTAGGTATAGGACTCTAGCTAGTAATCTAGCTCAAGATGACTCCTTTTTATATGAAAATGAAAATTTGTTGGCGCATCTTCTCACTTTCTGGGTCAGAGGGATTACGCAGAAGGAGATGGTTGCAGGTTAATGAATGAATGAATTTCAGAATTAAGAATAATATATAAAAGGAAGTTTGGCCTTATCTTTTGAAGAAAGTGGTTTCACTGTGAACCTTTTAATTAATATAAGAAAGTAAAGTATAGTGGGTGGTCCAAAATCTAAATATTAAATCGCGAATCTCTCCCAATCACACTCTCATCTCAACACTCAACACTGATTACAATCTTCAACCACCATCGTTACGTGTCCCACACAAGCTCATATCATGTTCAAATGGGTTAAAACCCATTGTATCCATCACAATTTTCATGATTTAAAAAAAATTATAAATTTTGACATGGATTGAAATTGAGTCCAATTAATTAAAAATTCAATTTATTTGGATTAAATTCATAATAAGTCAAATTAACTTACCAATTTATCTATAAATTTTAAGTTATATTAAAAAATAAAACTTTAAACTTAAACCTTCTTCAAATATTATAAATGGATAAAAAATAATAATAATTTAATGTAAGATTTGTTTTATATTGCTTTTGGATTTTATTAAAAATTTAACATATTGGATTATATTTTATTTTTTCTATTCGGGATTGTATATGAAATTTATATTATTTTGAATAATATTTTGATTGAATTTTATTTACATTTTAATTAGAAAAAAAATTGTTATTTTTTAGACTAAAGAAAAAAATATTATAATTGAGTAAGTTAATAAGTCAATTTATTTAATCCATCAATTTATGATGGATAAATCAAATTTGAATTTTTTAATTTTGTTAATAAGTAAATCATATTAGCTCACTAAGTGATTAATCCGCAATAAACTAGATCAAACTATATCAAATGACTAGTTTTCATATACTACTCATAACCACATTACTTCTATCCTTCACAATGCACTTCTGAAATTCAAATTATTATTATTATTTTCATTTTAAACCATGTTGCATTTCCATTTATCAATACATAAGACATTTGCTTGACAAAAAAAGTATATATCGCTAGGATTCACACTCATTTGATGAAAAGATAATAAACAATGTAACTCGTTTGACAGGTTGAATTATTAGAGAAGAGATAATCTAAATTTTATAAAGTTGAATAAAATAATGTTATGATGAAGTTCACAGAAGAAATTATATAACTCCAAATCCAATTGATAATTTATTCCACGTTTTCACGTGAAATGTGCACGTTAAGCTGAGTTGCTTTTAGCTGTAATAGTATGAAATCTCACGCGATGTCGCATTCATGTTAGACATAAGAATTCAATGAAGAACAATAAGAAACATAAGAGACAAAACATTGAATACAGATCGATGTTGAAAATCAATCAGACTGTCATTACCACTTATTTTCAACACCTTTTTGTTTGTTTCAATAACATCATCGTCAATTATAACTCTATTTAGTCCTATTACATAGGATTTAAGAATTTTCTTCTCAATGATACATTTATAAAAATTTTAAAAACTGTCATATAATTAAGGAACGTTTTCATATAAGAATTGTTTCGCTCCTACGGTAAACTCGCATAAAAGTGGCTTTTACTGAATTTAAAAATCTACTTAATAATGCTGTTATAACTATAGATAATTATAAATATAAAAAATAATAATATGAAGAGAGTGTAAGAAATTACTTCGTCTTCCATCTTATCAGAAAGAAAGAGTGTCTGCTGTTGAAGGAAATTAATATTTTGACTTATGTTTTAAATGACTATCTTCACGTTTATTTTTCACTTATTTCTAGCTTAGATTTTTTATGGTTTGCAATTAGCAAATGCTACATTATTATTATTATTAGTATTAGTATTCGTAAATTATTACGGTGGATTGTGTGACTATAATAGTACTCTCTTTTTTAAGCCAAATTAATGATTAATCGCTAATATTAATTTAATCAAACTAAAATGTTATTAATTTAATTGAAAAAGGATTAAGGGCAATTGATAATAGGTATGTAAAATAAAGTGTTGATGAATGAATGGAGTTAAATAATTTTGTATTCCTTTTAAATGATGTGAAGTGAGATAAAAAGAAAGAAAGAAAAGGTGAGGAATGTTGAGGAAGATTCCTTAAAGTCCTTACAGAGAGAATAGCATAAAGGCCAAACAGCCAAAAAGAAAGTCATTGGCAGCATTGTGATATTCGTGATTCAGTGATAAGGAAATCTTCCAAACCTCATAGCTCCTAAGTGTGAGCAAGGCACAATTATTCATATTACATTTAACTATCTTCACAATATGAATCAATTTGTTTAGCCATAAATTGATTCGCTGTAAGATTACTCAATTTTTGTTTAGTATTACTCAGTCGACAATAACATTCACTAACTATTGTGCTAATTAATTGTATGTGCAATCTCAAAAGATATTGATTAATTTCTGTTGCCAGTCAAACCATATTTTTAACTAAAAAATATTTCAAAATAATGACTGATCTTTATAATGTGTAAACCAAATCCTATGATAAATAGATTAAGTGTGTTTGATAAAAAATGAAATGTTTTGAATCAAATTTTATATTAACTAAATATATGATAAAAAAGTTACCGTTATAAGATTAAGTTACCATAAATTTATTTTTTAACGTGATACTAAAGTATATCATAACAAATTTATTGAACTTATTACTTCATCCCATATCAAATTATCTGTAAACACTTACTCTAATATTAATATTTAATAAAATAATGATAACAATTATCTAAAAATGTAATAAATTATAATGAGTAAAATACATCTCCATTTACAAACAAATTTTATAAAATTGAGTTAATAAACACACTTTTTAAATTGATTTATTTAGTTTCCATCATTTTGTTAGGGCAAATTTAAAATACACATATTTTCCTTCACTATAATCATTAAGCTAAGACTGAGTTTTTTTTACTAAAAACTAAATATAACAATAATTATTATTCTAATCCAACTGTTTACTCTAAAAATAAAAATCCTTTTGATACACGGAAGAATATATCTCAATTAAAGGTAGAAATTCCTCTACATTCAAATAATGCAAGTTACGTAATTTATTTCCTACCTTTTGCCTTATTTTAATCATAAAAACTAATAAAGAGTTTTCTTTTATTTTTTTATTTATGTAAACAATAGTCATTTTTTACTTTATTTTCCTTTTACTTTTTCCCTTCTTGTTGCCCTCCTTCCTTCGTACTTTATTCTTATCCGAAAAGTGTGTGGGAATGCGAACTTACCTTGATGAAGGGGGCGACGATACTATATTCTCAATACAAAGAAACTATCAAATGCGTTGAATCACTTTCTATCCTTGATCGGTGAAAAAACTCATGTGAGGCGTAAAGAAAGCTAGATGCTTGCCTAACAAAATAAGAGATATGGTAAAGAGAAAGGTCTCATACCGCCAAATTCTTTCACTATGAAGCACTAAAGATTCGGGATAAAACTACAGAAGATATTGATCATGTGACAAGTCACTAACTATCAGGATATTTTTGACATTTTCATATCCTTCTAGAATTGAACTAACTACATTTGTTCCTGAAAGACTCGCTCTAAAACACACCAAGTGAAGGAAGTTTATGACGTAGTTGGGATGCATCCAATAAAAGCACCAACCATGAGCAATATTCATAACTTTATCTTCGCATACATTTTGGAGTGTGGTGAGTTGTGGTCTAAAATTTTGTGCTTTGAATGTTAAATGAGCATAATGATCTCGAATTATTAAAATAGTGAACAAAACTACTGCTAATAAGCTACATAGGAAGCATCTATGGACCAGAGTAAATATACACAGTACTACAAAATACAACAATAAACATGAATGGAAGGTAAAATATCCAATATATTTTAGTTAGGTGAAGAGTAAAATAATCTAAATAATACCTTTTTCATAGGAGTGTAATTGAAGACACTGGAGACAGTTGCAGACATATGCCAAACTAGACATATAACACGATGTAAGTTAAAGGAGATTTGAAAAACGTAATAGTTTGTAGAAAGCATGTTTGCTCGGCTATTCTGGGGATACCATAAACTCAAACATAATTCCTAGATTTACATGTAAACGGGTGCCTTGGCATGTAAAACAAAAGCTTCAAACGTCATCCAGTTGCTGAGCGGCATTCTTTGATGTTCTTAGAGAAACAGGCCTTTGAATTCACCATTTGCTAGTTGGCACAACTGATTGAAAGAGTTGGTATCTATAGAGAGTGCCACATCAAAACAAACATAAATGAGCAGGACAGAACACTAGAAAGATAGAAATGATAAACAGTTTCTGGTTTTAGTTTCTATTGCGCCAATGGCAGAGGAAGAGGGCAATCGCCAAATAAATCTAATTTTGATTTTAATTTTGAACAAAAACACATGTTTGGAGAAATATTTACTTCGAGTGAACCCTTTCCTACTTTGAGAACAAAAGAACGAACATATCAACTGACGACATGTGAGAAAAATTGTAAATTGTAATGCTTCGTACCAAATGTGTTGCCAAAGTCGGTCCATAGTTCGGCATCAATAGAGTTGCTGCTTTCAGCAATACCGATTACCTCGATAAAATTCATAATGGGGACTTGCGGCAACCCTTTTATTGTTAATTGAGAGTCATCGGTGGATTTTGCTGTGGCAACCCCACCACCATATTGATTCACCTGAACCACTGTTCTTACTCTCTTCCCTATAAAGTTGGGAATCAACTGAGCATTCACAAATACAGCAGGATTTGACGTGTCCATGGCCTGAAACGAAAAGGGGGAAAAAAATCAAGCTTTGAAAGCAAAGCTTAAACAAATGTTTTATTTGCTTACATGGAAATAATGGTTGAATGTTCGGAAAAAATAAACTGGTCTCCATTTTCGTCGCAGCACAAATACATTTAACAGTGGAAGAGAAAACGAACAACTGCGACAAATTATAGTCTAAGAGAAATTTACACAAACATGTTGAGTGCACAAAAAATGAACACAAGTGTTGTCTGTAGAGAATCGCCTAACCCTAAAGTTAATGCAAATCAGTGAATAAAAGTCTAAATATAAAAACTCAAACGAACGAAATTAACGGAATAGGTGAATAATTCAGAATTACGCTGTAGTGATTGTTTCAGAATGAAAAATAAAAACGAAGCAGAGTAGAATAAGAGAGTGAATAGTGAACCTTTGAATTATTGGAAAGAAACCCTTTGCGTTTGCTGAGTAGTTTGGCAGACACACTGAGAAATGGAATTTGAAACGGAAAATGCGCTTAAGACGGAGCGGGAACCTTAAACGATTGCTTCTTCGTTTGGCGGGAAACTACTATATTTCATTTTACCCTTTTCTCCCTCAGATCCCAACAACGCACTTTATATATATATATATATATTATGCTTATATTTCCTTCTTTCTTATTTAATCTTCCTTTTCTTTTTCATTTATTTCTTGATCGATAAATAAATTTGTGGTGCTTCTTTTAACATACTTTAATGGAGTGAAAATTAATGGATTAAATTTGATTATATTTGAAGATTATTTAACTTGAGGGGGAAACTTAAAAAAAAAAACACATAGCCTGTGATTTTTCTACTTTTTTTTTATTAATTGAAAAGTTTGTTTGAATTTATGGGTTCCATGGGATATAGAATTTTTCTTTCATGAATTTGTAGTCTTTTTTAGTTTTTTATTAAACCGTGTTTTACATAACTCAATATTTTTATATTGATGTACTTTTATTCTTAAAACATTTAGTAACTACATGTTAAAATAGTATTCGTGTTACTGTATATATATTTAATTACAAATTGAGAATAACTATTTTAGGAATGAGAATGAGTAAACATTAGTCATAATATAATCTTTTTTATATATTAGTAATTTAGAAAAACATACAGTTTTGTATTGTGTTAATTATATACGCACTAAAGTTATAAGTTTAAATATCAATGACATCAAAATTAAACCATTTACGAGTAAATGTCTTATGAAAAATTCCTGAAATTTTCACAAATAATTTATAATGAAATATGTTCATCTCCATATCGTATCACAGGTACATATAAAATAACATTCAAAAATACAAAAGTAAGATCCTTGCAAATATTAAATATCAATATGAAAAAATATTACATATATTAAGAGAAGATAAAGGTTCAAATATCAATCTATAATATTCTACAATATTTATTATTATATGAATTTGTATTATTAATAAAGTAATAAAACAAGTCATGATTTAATTTGACTTTTCGCTTGTCATTGACTCGTAAAAAATAAATCTGGCTAGACTAACTGTCACGATAAAACAAACTAAAATTTATAACCCATTCAATTATAGACTGATAGAGATGTGAAAGTTTTTCTTTTATTTATATATAAATAAATATTGAAAACATATTTAATCATATAATTAATTTTTAAGTTTTTTAATTGATTAATTAATTTTTTAATTTCGATAAATGAAAACAATGATTGAATTTAAATATTAAATTACTCTTATAACTACCAATTATAATTTATTTTGTAAATGTTATTATCTTAAATCATTCTTAAAAAAATATAATATAAAAAATTTAATCTTTTAATCTATTTTTAATATATATATATATATAATATAAAAGGTCATCGGACCAGCTCATTGTGTCTGTCTTTGATCTATTAATTTGGTGGGTTAAGTTAGTTGGACCAAAATAAATTGATAGGTTACAAATATTAACGTGATATATCCTATTTTGGACACACACAAATTGATGGATTAAAGTATTAACATGATCCTCCTATTTTGATTTGTAGATCATGACTCATCTTATTACTCTTGATTATCAAATACTTTCATTATTCAGTTTGAGCATAAAATAATCTTAACCATGTTACAATATTGTAAGCTTTAAAAGTCAATTTATAAGGTTAAATTAAAATTAAAGTCTACACCTTAATACTTTAATATAATATATGCTTAATTTAGTACTTTTAAAAAAAAAAACATTTGAATTAGTAACCAACACTTACAAGTATAGGAAATCAAATAGATTATACGATTTTAAAAGAAAAAAAATGTTCACTCAACCAAAAGTTTATGGCAGTGGATATTTAATTTTTTAGAGCTTTGTATATAATTATGTTTTTATTTAAATATATGGAATTAACTTTTTAAAAGAAGTTAATTTTATTTGAACTTATATTTATAATTTTAAGTAGAGCTTATTTAATTTGTATTTGAACATATAAAGAAGAGACGTTGTTATATTTTTAAGTGCTTCAATTATCTTACATATACAATAAAATCTGGTAATAGTGTTGAAAAGTTAAACATAATGTAAAACTTATTGTGAGTGAGCTTCTTCAACTTGGTTCATGCAAACACTTATAGCTCTTTTTTTGCTTTTCTTTTATTTGTTCATCCTTTTCGATTTTTATAATCTGAAAATTAAAACTAGTTTTTAAATTAATCTAAAAATCAAAATCAATTTCTTAGAGGTAAAAATAGTTAATTAAAAAATAACCTTTAAATTATATAATTTAGAAGTCATTTAGTTTTCAAATTATATAATTCAAAAATAATTTTTAACTTTCAAATTTTACTATTTGATTTTTTTTTCTAAAAAAAAATATTACACAATTAAAAAAAACAATTTTTTTTATGAGACGAGGAAGAAGTTTATGAAAGTGTAAAAAGAAACTGTTTTTATTTTCTCTCATACTGTCCACCATGTTTCATATTATATTACAAAATGACTTTCAAGAAAAATATTTTCTAGAACTCATCAGAAGATAGCCATTTTACAGAAAATTTCGGTCAAGATATGTGAAAAATGACCGTAGAGATATTTTAAAAATGTCAAAAAAGTGGTTGTGAAGAAAAAAAAAGAGGGGTGTAAATAGTCTCTCCCAAGAAATAAAACCCACACAAAAAATAAATAAAAATTAGGAAAAAACCTATTGCAACACTAACCAAAGTAGCTTCTTAATTTTAAAACATATTTTGAAGTAAAGTTTGAAAATATTATAGGTAAAACAAGGCCTTATTATTGGCTTAACCAATCCAATGGCTGCATACTAAACGACTAAAAATGTTGAACAAACATCAATGAAGCAGTGACCATAAACCTTATTAAGAGATAAACATGATCACTTAACAGAGATCTTCCTCCTTGTGGGTGTAAATCACACAATCTGATGTCGGATACGAGACACATGTGAGAAGGTAACCTTTCTCCATTTGCTGTTCTTCAAGGAAGGATTGATCTGACTGATCCACAGCACCTGAAAGCAGTTTGCCTGCACAAGTAGAGCAAGCTCCAGCTCTGCATGAGTATGGTAGTTCCACTCCAGCATCCTCAGCTGAATCCAGAATGTAACAGTCATCAGGGGCTTCAAATTCATTCTCTTCACCGTCTGGTCCAATCAGTTTCACTTTATATACTGCCACTGCTGACACTCTAAAGGATGATGATTTCAGTCCAAATGCTTTAGACACATTTTTCACAGAACTAAAAGATGACGGACTCTTAAAAAGAGCACAAGATCTCCTCCCAGCAGGCACAGATCCTCCAGACAAGGAAGCTATTGGAAGTGTCATGGTGGACATGTTCACAGCTGACATGTTTATACCTGAATCCAATAACTGTTGTACAAGTTAAATAGAAAAATTGTTATCAAATTAAATCCAAATAAAAGTAACTGTTTACCCCAAAACGGAACACAATACATCAAAAATATTTAACTGTCAAGACTGGACTTCCTTGTAAAATAGTGAAAGACTCAAGAACTTGCCATTAAAACGACTCAACACAGTCAAGTACAAACCTTGATTTTCAAGTTCACATAAAAAAACATAACTGATATGCTCTTGTAACTTTGTTGATTGTTATATGAACTGACAAGCAACTTACTGATTAGATAAGGTGACAATATTCAAACTAATTATAAAATCAGCGACATACTGACAGTACTTGGGAATTTTTTACAAGTAAAAAACGACAAGATTGCCTATCATGCACTAAAGATTAGAAGGTTGTAGATTTTTCAAGAAATTGGTTTTGCTTTTGCTCCACTCTAGGATATAGGGAAACTCAGATTACCAGAAATTGCTTCTCAATAACGAAGTCAGATCAAGTATTATTACCAGACACCTTGAACGTATATTATATAAATTAAGCCTAAATTATGAAAATCTAATCAGCTGCATCTTAAAAATCAGTGTTGGTGCGGGTAAAAAGATACTCGGTGAAGTTGGACCAGAAATAAACATCATCAGCCTCCTACACTAGTTTACGAAACTGTAGGACGAGGATAATACTATATAAGCACAGCCTTATAGTTAATCTAACTTTTATCATAAATATTTTCAAGTAACCAAATCAAAGTTTATAAAAAAAGGTGTTTTGGTCGTGAATTCCAGCTGTAAATAGTACTGCATATCAAAATAATAAACAGCATCCAAAAAGCTCGCAACTTTTTTGTTGATGAAATTGTAAAATGATGCAGTAATCATAAACTCAGAGATCTCCTCCAGAATGAACACCGTCCAAAAAGCTCGCAACCTTTTTGTTTCCACATCAAAGGTTTTGCCCTCCTATCACCATATCTTGATCCCCATCTTAACCCTCTTCCTCCCAGCAGCAGATATTGAAAATTTGACGAACAATTAAAAAAAATTAAAATCAAAGGAAATGGGAAAGAGGGTGTGGATCAAACAATCGAAACATAAAAAGATCTGTGCATGAGACAAAAAAAAAAAACACCCAATAAAACAAAACTTCATGACAAGCAAACACAACATATAAAAGCAAAAGCACGCAAGCAATATGCATAACAGGTTAAACCCAAATCCAAAATCAAGAAAGAGATTGAAAAAAGGAAGCCATGGAAAGTGGGGAGAGACTTACGGTCAAGAGACGACAAAGATTGTGACTTTGAAGAAGTGGGAACGAAAATGAGGGTACAAAGAGAGTTTTATATTTAAGGACAGTGGAATGGACAAAATATGGGGTGGGTATGGGGAAAGTGACCCTTTGAAGGCTCGGCGAGTCAGAGATGTCAAGTCGGCGCAGGAAGTTAAGACCACTGTGTCCTATTTTTCATGTGACCTTTGCAAAAGGCCCAAGTTCATTGAATTCCCATGTGGGGTCGTGGGGTTTTACGTGTGATTAAGTTTTGAATTAAAGATTAGTCTCCTAATTATAATGGTTAATAGATAAAAATAAATAAAAATAAATAAAAATAAGCCCCAATAATTTTTAGGCCACCATGACGCGCATAACTTTGGAATTAAGGTCAAAATAGTACACCTTTTAATAGCACTAAAAAATATATAAATAAATAAACCAAGTAAACTCTATTGAATTTGAACAATTAGCTAAGCATAAATTAGTTTTCAGTGCATTAATCGAATACACTTGGATGGTTGTAACCTCTGAGGAAGATTGATATTTAAAGATGTCTTTTTTGTGTCTATTACATTTCTCAGGTGATGTGCATCTTCTGAGAAACAACCAAACATTTCACAGTACGTAACTGGGACCTAGACCCAGAAACAAAAAGGAATGTAAAATTGTATAACATGGCTTATTTATTTCCAGCTCCAAAAATCCAAAGATATTAAGTCAGTGCTTATTGGAACCATGGATAAATTTGTCCAAGTTGAGCCTTTTCAATGACCTAGTTCAGAACAGATTTAAACATGTTCACTTTCTCTCGGTTTAGTGAACCTATTTTTTTTTATTAAATAAAAATATTTAAAAAACTAAAGTTGGCCCTTAACTTCTACTGCTATCAATGTAGATCTCCTTAATCATTCATGGGAATCAATGAGTTTATCGCTAATTAATTTAGACCTCTTTAATCAATTAATGGAAATCAATGAGTTTAGTGAAATAAATTAATGCTGTTAAATTTCTCAAAATTATTTTCTTAATTATATTCATCTAATTAATTAATGCGTCTTAAGAAATACAGCCCACAATTTATCTCTATCCGAGAAAAGAGTCCAAAAATTATTTTACTATATTCACTGATGAAGAATATTTTTGAAAAATAATATAGTTTAAATTTTAGATGATTTTTGTAAAAATAACTAAATCAAACTTTTTAAAATATTCATACAAACAAGGATACGGGACTATATCCTCTTATATAATGGAAAATCAGCTCAAATTTAGTATATCCTCTCATACTTTGTTTTCGTATATTTTAACAAAAAATTAATAGAAGAAAAATATATTTGTTTTACATGCATTTTAGGTTTAAATGAAAAAAAAAACTAAAAAATATTGGGCACTAACGAAAAGAAACAAAATGATTTGTCTCGTTCTATTTTGGTGTATCTGATTCCAACTCTCTTCAGCAATTATACGTATCACTTTCAAACTGATGCCTCGTTTTGATATAGTTCTTAGACTCAAAACAATTGACATAAGGCATGACTCGTATTTATCAAAAACTACACAAGGAATCATCATGGGACATCACACAATGAAATGATGTCTATTGATGATGTTACAGCTTCTCACGATATGTAATCCCACTATTCCGCGCATCAGCTTCAACATGACCAAAGCAGAAGAAGCTGACAACAGAATAATTGGCAACCATGAATTAGAACCAAATATTAGATCTTGGGTTCAGTAACAAGAACGCTAAGAAAGTAATGGCACGAGGAGAATCTACGTTTCTAAAGTCTTTCTTCGTTTGCAACTGTAAGGAAAACAATGATACTATAAAATTATCGAAAGAATCAGATTAACAGGAGGAACCCACGCTCATGTACGTCTAATCTACTTCTTCGGCGCAGACAACCGGTGTCTGGACCATTCTTCAAGGGCCTTGCGATGGAGAGCATTCATTCGAATGTAAGGTCGTTTTTGCTTGATCAGCTTCTCAGCAGTCTTCCAATCCTCGGTGATGCCTAGTGCTACTAACAGTGCACACATAACTGCTACACTTCTTCCATGACCTTTACACCAAAAAACAAAAAAGTTAAAGATGGTCGTATAATCTAAAATGAGTATAAAGGCAACATTTATAATGTCATATAATCTACCTCGTTGATAAAACTACAGTTCTAATAGTATGCCTAACTAAAATAATATCTTCATATTTGCAGGCTCATGCAAGTGCTCATAATAATGAAGAACAACCACAAAGTGACAGACACCCACTTAAAAGCACGGGTGACCATTAAAACACGACACATAAAAGAATATGTTGATGCTACTAATAATGAGTGGCAAAGAAACCAGTTTCTCTTTAATAACTTCTCATAATTTAAAAATTTTAACTTGGTAATGGATCGATACTTAGTGAGAATTTCTTTTTCAACCTTCCAATGACACCTTTCATTCTATTCCTAGTTTTCATTTTCACTGGGTCTTCCTTTCAAAACAATGTACATCCCCTCTGAGTCGATTCTATTCCTAGTTTAACACTCCAATGCAGAACCCTCCAAGGGCATACTTCATGCGTAGTGATTGAAAAACTTTGTTCAATATCAAAACTAACAACTATCTTCTTGTCGAGCCAAACGATTGCATTTATCAATCTTCACTGACAATCAAAGAGTCAACCTGAGATAAGCTACCAGAGCAGTATGAAACCAAAAATATTCTTCATGAAGGAAGCAAAATGCCAATCCACTGGCGATGCGATGTCAAACCTTTTGTAGCTGGAGTTGATGAAAATAGAATACTACACCCAAAACACGTATTATTGTTGTAATCAGATTCTTTCCTCTCCTGGTTGTCTCAGTTCTCTATTTTCTCAATTAGGGATGCTGTGGTTCAAAGATCTACAACCTCTTACAGAATTGGAAAGGTGTTTTTTTCCTTTGATTGGTTACATTACTCCCAGTTTAACTCTTTGTCCAACGCTGCTTCTGCTATCTTTCCCTTTTCTAAATTTCAATAAGTCATTTAGAGTAAAGAGAATATAGCAACGACCTACATCATTGGTTTTCTCAAAAGTCTACTGAATTCAAGTCCCTTGTTTGGACAGCAGCAATTAAAACAAACATAAGACAGAATAAATTGTCGTTCATTATATAATCATTGAGTTACAGAATACAAATCGAACTATTAATGTCTATAAAAACAAAAAATTCATCACTTGAGAGGTCACGTTTCATGTAAGTTTTATTTGGATAAAGTTCTCAAATCTCATATTTGTATGTCCACACCAAGAAGACTTAAACTTCAACTTAATCTCAATCTTATACATATTTTTTACTCATAATTCTCTCCTATTCAGCTCTGACTTGATCACCAGAGCATCGTCCACAAGTAGATATCCATTCGGTGTTATGTTCAATCCTCGTTAGAATCAATACTTTGGCCCACAAATAGCTCATTCCGAGGGCATTCAATTTCCAGTAAAAACTTAAGTTCTTATCGAAAATATTGTTATCCAAACAGGGCCTTAATGCTAAAATTTGCATAAACTATTTACAAGACACATCACACGAAAGACAAGCAGAAACGCTAACACAAGAGAAACACCAATCAATTGCTAAAAATGGTTGCATAACAGATAGTCATGGTTGGGGGCATGAAAAAATGGTCACAAATTTTAAATTTGAATATAAAAGAAACAATGTATGCCTTCAAAAGCACATAGTTCTCCGCGGCGATTTTATGTGTAGAACATGTTTGAAAAATATTATTTATAGAGATTTCAGCAGCTGTTTTGGGATAAAAAGTTGTTACCAATTTCAGGTATATATTTAGAACAATGACTCCCCTCCAACCAATTTTTTCCCCTTCAACTTTGACACGTGCTCTTTTTCCATATCATAAAAATTGATTTATATTACATCTAAATGAATATAATTTACATTGAGACCACTTATCAATAAATTTACCAACACAAAAACAGATTAAGACTATGTATAAATAACTTGAGTCATCCCACACAGATTCTAAACTACACATTTCTCACTGCAGATTACATAGAACAAACAGAAGAACAATCTTAAGAGCATTCATATTCACCATGAATTTAACTTGAACAGGCTAATAAAGCTGACTAACCATAAGCACAGTGAACGAAAATGGGCCTGTTGAGGTCTCTCTGTCGAGAGGCCCACTTAATTGCGGATTCGATATCAGCAGGTTGAGGCGACCTCGTGTCCCACGTCGGAATGCAGCGGTAGGGCAAGCCCGCAGTGAAGTCCTTGACACGCGGGAACTCGCACGTGCAATCAATAATGGCAGGGTCGCCAGGTGGCAGCATGTGAGGCGAGGATGGCCAGCCACCGACATAGAGATAGTCGTGAACCTGTGTGTAAGGAGGTTCTCCGCTTCGAAGTCTTCGGAGCTTGGAGAAAACGCGAACGAAGTAGATGTAAGGGCCGAAAAATATCAGTGAAAAAAGTGGGAAAGCTCCATCGGTGGTTTTTCCCAGAAGCATGGGAAGGTCGATGGAAGGGTGAGAGGCGATTGAGACCAAGAATGAGATGAGCGAAGCGTATAGAAAAGGGAGGGAGAAGAGAGTGAAACCGAGGTTCTTCAGGTAAACGAAGAATAGAAAAAGCGTTGTTGCTTTCACCGCTATGAGAAATGATATTCCCACCCCCATTTTGTTCTTCCGATTCTGGACGAGATTGGTGATCTAGGAGAAGAAGGAATGAACCCTATAACTGTGGAGCAGGCGAGGAACTGCTATTTTATTATAATTATTATTTTATGGATCGTTATTCCACTTCCTCTCTCTGTCATTTTCGGCGTGTTCAGCATAAAGGAGAATGGAAAAGATAATATATATATATAAATTCATTTAACTAATAGATAATAATAGTAATAATAATAATAATAATAATAGAAATGACACATTGTTCATGAACAAAGACAAATACTTTAAAACACTTTCACCTTGCAAATTTGTATACAAATAACATGTTGAATTTCTGGAATACATAAATGCATTCACTTCAAAAACTATTATGTATAAATAACATTGTTTAAACATAATGAATAAGAAAAAGTAATTTTTAACTTGAAAAAAAAATCAATGTTTCCCATAAATATTTTTGGAGATGACATTCAACTAATTTTCGTATTTTTTTCAACTTTCTCTTAATTCAAACTCCTACGAGTACTTCAATAACATATGCATAAAATAACGACTACATTCAAATGTTAAACTAAACTTGACTTAAGTTGATGTTTAACCATAATACTCCAACTTATTTACAAAGTAGTATGTGACAAAGTTAGGAGAAGTAATCACAAAAGGAAAATGATATTAGGGTTTATTTTGGAAACTAACAAGTATCGATTGAAACTACCTTTTTTGTTATGAATTGGAAGTTGATTTTGTAAGTGTGATGGGTGGTCTTATAACACGCACCATTAAATGACAACCCAAAAATTATATCTAATATACTTTATACTAAAAAGAATGATATTGTAATTCGTACACAATTATCCTTCTCATTATTGGGCATGGATTGAACACCCTGCAATGAGATTTATAAATCAAAATTATAAATTTTCACACTTTTACATAAATTATGACCAACTTTGATTAGTATTATATTATTGTTTTAGGACCAACTCAAATATAAAATTCCACACTTTAATTAATATTACATCGCTGTTTTAGAACCAACTCTAATGAAAATGAAATATTAAAATCAATAACCAACCATGATATTATTATCCTAATTATGACATTCAATTTTATTTAAGACTGTGTTTACGAATTTGAAAAAGAGTAAATGAATAAATTTAAAAGAATTTAATAATAAAGTAAAAGATTTGGAAGTGATTATATCGAATTTGAAAGTAGTGTTCGTAAGATAATTAATTATATGATAGATTAAAAAATATTTTAATAGATAAAAATATACATTATTAATAATTTATGATAATAATAATATAAAATGATATTTATGGATAATATATATTTTGTAAAAATAATGTAATTAAAAAATTAATATATTATTATTTTTATTGTTGTTATAATTATATATGTGTGTAATAATGACAACGTCTACCATGAAAAAGACTTAAAAAAATATTAAAAAAAGATTAGATTTGTAAAATCATATCTCATACCATCAAATCTTTATATATAGAGAGAATGATACAATTCTTTCATTCATCAATAAATCCGCGCTCTCATGTTCAAACTGATAAGTGAAAAATAACAAGATAGAAGTGACTTTGTTGGGGAGTGAATTAACTTTTACCTAACGATATGTTGAAGTTAAAATAGTTTAATAAAAAAAGGTTATAAAAGATAAACTAATGTACATAATTAAACATATATATAGATAGATAGTTATTTAACAAAAATAATTAAAACCAATAAACAATATTAATAAAATAATATTTATTAAACAAAAACAGAAGCCGGAAAATAAGATAATTTTTTTTTTCAAAAACAAATAACATGAAAACATAGAGTAATGTAACAAAATATTTTACTCAAAGATAAAGTTTAAACCTTAAACTACTTTGGAAGGAGCGACACCACATTTCCTTTTATTTTATTTTTTAGGATTTTTATTTTATAATGAGAAATAAAAAGGTCTTTTAAAGTAGGGCAATGAAGGCGCCATATCCCGTCCAATTTTTGTTTTTACAATGAAAAACTTATAAATAACGAAGTGTTTAATACATTGCATTGAAATAAACATTAGAACCATATTTTGAAAATATAAAAAATTATAAAGAAACGATACTGGCGGTGAAGAGTCCAGACCCGGCCCATGATCACCTTCTTCACTTCAAATCAAACTCAAACTCAGCACTCCGACGAATAGTGCTTGCGTTTGTCTTGGAAACTTACACCGAAGATTTGAAGATCCCGCCAAAACTTCACCGACCTCAGAGGTGATGGAAGCGAATCAAGAGACGGCGGTGACGATGAATCAAGAAGAGGACGAGTTGGATTCCAAAGAGAGCGTGCTCCAAAAGTACTTCCTCCAAGAATGGAACATCGTCAAGTCGCTCCTCGACGACATCGTTTCCAATGCTCGCGTCTCCGACTCTTCCTCCGTCCACAGAATCAGATCCATTGTACTCTTCTTTGTTCATGACGATTATCTTCATCCGGTTATCAATTTTTGTTATTGAAGAACAGTTATCTGTTTTTATTTGCAGTTGGACAAGTACCAGGAGCAAGGTCAACTTCTGGAACCCTACCTCGAAACCATAGTTTCTCCTCTGATGAACATTATTCGGTCAAGAACAATTGAACTCGGGACAGCTTCGGATGAAATTCTCGAAATAATTAAACCTATATGTATAATTGTATATTCGTTAGTCACGGTTTGTGGCTACAAATCTGTGATTAAATTCTTTCCGCATCAAGTTTCCGATCTCGAACTAGCCGTGTCTCTGCTGGAGAAGTGTCACAGCACAAATTCGGTGACGTCGTTGAGGCAGGAAAGCACGGGAGAAATGGAAGCTAAATGCGTGACGTTGTTGTGGCTTTATATACTTGTGTTGGTTCCTTTTGACATTTCCACTGTTGACACCAGTATTGCCAATGATGACAGTTTAACCGAGTTTGAGCTCAGTCCTCTTGTGTTGAGAATTATAGGGTTTTGTAAGGATTACCTTTCAACTGCTGGACCTATGCGAACTATGGCTGGTCTAGTTCTCTCGAGGCTACTTACCCGTCCTGATATGCCGAAAGCCTTTACGAGGTTTATTTCAGCATGTTTTTTAGCTTGTTTAGTGTTTGTTAAGTTTTCTCTCCGGCTGCCTAATATATTTGTTTTGTCTTTTGTCGTGGTGTTGTTTGTGTAAAGATGATTTTCGTGTTAGTCAAAGTTTATTTCAAATCATCAATTAACTCCTTGGTTTTTGGGTTGTGTTTACAAATATAATAATGGTTTTGTTTTCTCTTGAAAATGTCTAGATTTGAGTTTTGTTAGTTCACGACATTATGTGTTATCACTACAGACATGTTTGGGGTTGTGCGCATGCTCACATTTGTGTTGTATAAAACCTCTTGTTTTGCCAATCATGTTTTTAATCTGACTTTTCTAATTGCTTCAGCTTTGTTGAGTGGACACATACGGTCATGTCCTCTGTAACTGAAGATTTACTCCATCATTTTCAGTTACTTGGTGTCGTTGAAGCACTGGCTGCTATTTTCAAGGTTTGTGTTTTTTTTGCCTTGTTTTGTTTAGACCCTCAAATGAAAATGTTTTCATCTATCATTTGTGTAAGGATTTGTACAAATTATTTGAGGTAGATAATGGTGCATAATTGTCTGGGATAGCTTGTCATGTTGTGGTTAATTGTGTTACTTTATATTTAGGAATCTTATCTTGTTGGAAGCTTACCTATTCTTAGACATGTTATGTTCGCTTATTTAATAGGACTGTTAAGTTAGTATTTGTATCTCATCTTCAGTACACACTGGATCAATTCAATATTCCGACTTTGAGTATCTATTAAATTTTCTTCTTCTTCTTTGCTTAGATTGCATAGTGTCAGCAAAGCATTGGAACCATACTGATTGTGATTTTACAAAATAGGGTCCATGTTATGAATCTGGTTTGTCATAATCACGTGGCCATGCACAACATTGCCTCTATTCTGGTCTTTCCTTGTGTGTATTAACTTAAAGATATTGTTTGTTCATCTGTGAAAAATTTCTTACCCAAGAAATCAATACATTTCTGAATTGTAATGATCAACTATGTTATATTCTCCTGTGGGATAATATACATATGTACCAAGCCTGATGGATATATTATATATCTACCAACTTGAGAGCGAGTGTTAAGATGTCTGTATTTCATTGGACATTCTAATTTGGTTACGTATATATCTAAAATAGGTGAGGAAATACAGGATATCTGCCATAAATAGTTTTTCTATTCCATAAAACATTGGAATTGAATAATGTGATGGTGTAAATATAAATGCAAAAACTTCACAAGTAAATTTTCTAGTTGGTATTGAAATTCATACTTTTTGGGCTTGAGAAAAACATTAGTTGTCCTGTCACTCAGCTACAATCCTGTTAAGATAAAAGTTCTTGTCTGTCTTGAACGGTTTGATTGGAGGAGTTTGGGTCTTGTTGTGGTGTGCTTGATTACTTGCCAAGAAAATTCTGTCTTGTTTTTTGTCATTCCAGCTATCAAGTTGACGAATCTCTCTAACAATAGTAGTCTCTTCATCTTCTCTAACAATTCTCTAAGTTGTTTTCCATCCAACTGCGGTGGAGCAAGCTTAAAACGTAGTAAGGCTACTGGGTTTGTTATAATACACTCTCAATTTAATATCCTTTTATTCTCTGTCTCGATTTTCTACTTCCTTACCTAACACAGATAGACCTGACAATTCCAGCAATATTAATGATTTATTATAGCTCTTCATGCAAATATGATGCTTTCAAAACTGTTAGTTATAGAAATAATCAACTGATTCTACATAATCAGTAATATCTAGATTGTGTATCTATTATTAAGAACGCTTTTATTCATTCCCATATCATAATGTTGTTATTAGAGGATATCAATTCTCTTCTATTTATTGTATTTATTGTTTTTTCCTATCATAAATAAAGCATCCATGCTGTTTCCGAAACACAGTTTCAGCTAAATGTTTCTCTCTTTCCTGGAGTTTAACAAAAAACGGCAAACAAAAGGCAAATACCATAATTAAATTGATTAGGTGAACCAATTTTCTTGATGACAAGGTTGCATGTCTAGTTTTGTGTATTGCTTTTGCTATGTCCCTTTGTTACCTTTAATGTTTCTAA